TTTTATATTAATATTACCTTATTTTAACATCAAAAAAAAAAGTGATTATTTTTTTTGTTACACATCAGAAATGTCAGAATTTAAAAATATGATGGAGGAAGTATTGCGCGATAGTGAAAAGCATCAAGGCTTAGATGCTATTATGAAATCAAGTGTAAACAAATTGACCTCATCGATTATTGCAAATTGTATACCAACGAAATTGGTAATTACTTACGTATTAGACGTCAGAACATTTATCTTTAAAAAAAACATATATGTAATATTTAAAACTATTTTGTTTAATAAGTTGAAACGCTTCCCGCATAATAACATGCAAACCATGACTATATCCGGGGCAAAAGGGAGTAGTGTGAACGTTTCGCAAATATCATGTTGTTTAGGTAAGTTGTATGTCAGCTGTTTTTTGTTCTTTTATTGTTGCTTATGTTGTTGAATTACATGCAATGTCTCGAATTTTTAAAGGCCAACAGGAACTAGAAGGTCGGCGTGTACCAGTAATGGTTAGTGGAAAAACTCTCCCATCATTCCTACCTTATGAACCCTCCGCACGTGCAGGAGGATTCATTGGTGGTCGCTTCTTAACTGGCATAAAGCCGCAGGTAAAATATATTAAAATTGCGAGAGTAAATGAGCACTTAATATTTATATTGCATATTACATTATTAATAGTTTGGTAACTTTGCAGGAATTCTTTTTCCATTGCATGGCTGGCCGTGAAGGTCTAATCGATACAGCTGTGAAGACAAGTCGCTCTGGTTATTTACAACGTTGTCTCATTAAACATCTAGAAAGCTTAAAAGTACATTATGACCATACAGTTAGAGATGGAGATGGCTCCGTTATTCAATTTCACTATGGAGAAGATTCACTTGATATCACCAAGCAAAAACATCTCTATGAGTTTAAGTTTAATACAGAAAATCATAAAGCATTGTTACAAAAATACGATATTGCAAAAGCACAAGTGTTAAATACTTCTTGTGCGTCTATTTACGCAAAGAAAGCTGCAAAAAAGCCTCATGAGTATGATCCAGTTCTCTCTAAATATTCTCCAAGCACTTACCTAGGTTGCGTTTCCGAGAAATTCCATAAAGCTTTAGAGAAGGTATTAAATTTGTTTGAATTAAAGTTTGTATTTAAATTTACTTTATACTATGACTAATATATAAATATATATCAGTATACGAATGAGGATCTGGATGACTTATTTAAAGCCAATTCGATATCAAAACCTGCTTTTCGAAAGCTTATGCATCTTAAATACCTTCATAGCTTAGTTGAACCTGGCGAAGCAGTTGGGCTACTAGCAGCTCAAGGCATTGGAGAACCATCAACGCAAATGACATTAAATACTTTCCATTTTGCCGGATTTGGTGCGAAGAACGTTACCCTCGGTATTCCTCGTTTACGTGAGATAATTATGACAGCATCGGAAAAGATAAAGACACCAATGATGACACTTCCCTTGCTTGAAAATGTGTCTGAGCAAGAATCTGCCAAATTCTGTCAGGAAATAAGCAAATTAACTTTAGCTGAAATTGTAGATCAAATGATAGTAACTGAACATTTGTCTAGTAAGCGAGATATGGATGGGTCGGTTCGATGCAGGATTTATAATATTCGCATGCAATTCTATTCACGTGAAGAATATACGAAAGAATTTAATATCGTACCTTCGCAAATTGAGCGCGCAATCGAGTCAAAATTTATAAAACATCTTATGAATGCGATATCTACTGAATTTAAAAACACTAAAAGCAAGAATGAAGTTTACACTGGTTAGCTTTTCACAAAGATTTTTATAGTTAGCTACATATTCATGAACTTATTATTTTTTTTTTTTCAATATACAAATATTTAGATATAGCTCAAGGAATAGATAAATTTACAAACAGAACAAGAAAAGATGCTACATTTGATGAAGATGAACCGATTAACGCTGGTGGAGATGGTAAATATTATATATTTAAATTTGACGATCTTTATGACAATTAAAATTAGAATGATTGATTTAATCATGATTGGCATACTTAACACAGAATCTGATGATGGTGATGGCGATGCTACTAATGCAAGAATAAATTCTAGAACCAAACAATTTGCGACCTACGATGGACCGGATGATGATGATCTTGAGATAATTAAGGAGAATGACCTTGCATTTGACAATGAAAATTCAGAAACGGAGGATAATAGTGAGTGGAGAGAAGATACAGATAACGATACGGACCAACCACAAGATTCATCCTTAAAGTCGCGAGACAAAACTAAGCGATCGGTTTTACGAGACAAAATTGTAGCATCTTCAAGCTGTATCACCGATTACCAATTTGACCATGTCAATTCAAGTTGGTGTGATATAGAATTGCGGGTATTATTTTTGTCATTATTTTTTGAACTGCAATGATTATTGTATTATTGATTTATCCTCTTTTACATTTCTTCTTTTACATTAGTTTCCTGCTGATACCAAAAAATTGTTATTGCTAAGCTTAGCTGAAGACGCATGTAAAAAGACGGTTATCCGTGAAATTAGTGGAATTAACAAATGCTATCCAATCGCGAATGATATTGAGGAAGACACATCGGTAGGATAGATACACTTGAAGAAGGTTTAAAATGACAAAATTTTAAATTTAACCATTTTCTTACATTTTTTAATGCATTTTTAGAAAACTATTGCAACTGAAGGAGTTAATTTTCGTAATATATGGTTATACGATAACATAATCGATATTAACAAAATTTATTCTAACGATATCGCTGCAATACTCAAAAACTACGGCGTTGAAGCTGCAAGAGGAGCTATAATGAAAGAGATATCAGACGTATTCGCAGCGTATAGTATCAATGTAGATCCAAGACATTTGACACTTGTCGCGGATTATATGGTAAGTTATCCACTTTCTTGTTAAGTCAATTGTAAATTTTATTATAAACATTTGAATTTATCGGATCATTTTATTATCAAAGACATTTGAAGGAACATTTAAACCATTTAATCGAATGGGTCTTGCAACGAATTCCTCACCTTTTCTTCAGATGAGTTTTGAAACTACTTGCAATTTCTTGACCCATGCAACACTTAATAATGATACTGATACATTGAATTCGCCATCAGCAAGGCTAGTACTTGGTAAAGTTGTACAAGGCGGTACTGGCATTTTTGAAGTTCGCCAACTGTGTAAAACTTACTAAATTTAAAAAATGAATAAATCCTATTAACATTGTTTATGACAGAATCATTTTATTTGTTAAAGATTTTCAACAATTATTTTTTTCATTAGTTTGGAAATTTTGCAAATTGTTTCTTTTTAATTTTTGTTTGTTGTTAGAGTTACAGAGTTTGTTTTTTTTTAAGGCATTATCTTAGATTCCCATATTTATAAGATAAGAAACAGATATTATAACTCAACCCCTAATTTATCTACAGTATATATTTTAAACAAGATTCACAAGATTCATAGCTGCACCGTGAAAGATGTAACACGAATCTTTTCTTCAAGACACATGTTGAATGTGGCCAAGAAATTGGGTTTGTTTACATTCATATAAATATGTATATAAAATACAGAATAAGCCTTAAAAAAACGATGGTTTTAGGTAATTAAATAAAACAATTCAAACATGTTTTTTTGGCAAGGCTGGTTAAATCTTCGTGTTGATAGAATTTTTTTTTTTTTTTAAAAAAAAAAAAAGGTTTACTCCAACCGCCTTTAACGCTATAGTATGAAAGAAAGCAGCCCTTTAAATACATTTTTGCCGCACATTTAAACAGATCGAAATCGGGTGTAACGAATAAAAAGGGTTAAAGCCCTTTACTTATCATTAGCATTTAAATGTGAAACTCATTTAGAAGGATGGTAAAATTGAGGATTTTAGCTAGCACTTTAACGCAAATTTAAAAAGTTACTTTCTTTGTTGAATGGCAAAGTCATCAGATCTTAAAGAAACAAAATGACTTCATTGTTCGTCGATGAGACTTTACGCTGTGTATCTCATTACGACACCATCATTGGTCCACAATAGGTCGAATATTTCTATAATAGTTCTCTCGTGAAACAAGATATAGACTATCTGATCATATTCTTACAGTTTGGGGTTGATCATTCAAGAAAAATCCCTGTTGTGTCAATTCAATCAGTTTGTATCACTAATGTTCGCCCCCCACTTTCCTTTTTTTCATTTTACGCCTTATCATTCACTTCATTCATAAATTCTTAGCCGATAGCACGGAATTCATTTTTAATAGCCTCCTCTGCTTTATTTTTACCCCAAACGTATTCTAAACTATACGTATTTCACCTCGGAGACACCTACAGATAACTCATTAATCATATAAAAGGTAGGTTTGTACTTCCTGACCCAATAACTAGCGAAATTTTAATTTTTTTTTATTTTTTATTATTTTTTTTTCACACACAATTTTTTGTTCTTTTTTTATATATCCAGTTTTTTCAGTTATACCAACAGTTTATACCATATAAGACTTGATATACTGAGGAAAAAAAAATTTGTTTTTTTCGTAATTTTTTTTTTTTTATTTCACATATAACAGGTAAAACAATTTATAAATCATCTGTCTTATATTGTAATATATATCAAATAATTTATATTAGACAGCTTATATAACAACAATCAGTCACCTTTTATTTTCTCACTACTTTATTTTTTAACCTTATATCCGTCTCCTAATTTTAATCCGAATAATTTCTCCGGATTTTATTCTCAATAACTCATTCACTAAAATTGTAAAACAACAAATCAATCTTAGAAACAAAAAAAAATTTTTTCAACGACGATACATAATCTAAATGTTACCGGTACCGACAAATATAATCCATATGCAAATGCAACAACCGCAACAACCTACACAACAGCCACCTCAGAGTCAGACTCAGCAGCCACCTCAGGGCCAACAGCCCTCCCAAACGCAACAACAACAGAATCAGCAACAAATGTTATCCGCTCACCCGCAAGTTGACCAAAATCAGAGGAACGGCATGCATATAAAGAGAGAACAAAGATTGCTGAATGCTTACGTATACGATTTCTTAAAACGTAGTGGTGCTATAGAAACAGCTAAAGCTTATTTAAGAGAAGGTGATTTCCAAGGCGTAGTGAAAAATGACGGTACTGCAAATTCAATAAACGGAAATGGAGGTTCAAGCTCTGATAACGATAATACATCGTTACCGGACGTCGATGTTCCTGTACAAGCTCCTGAAGGTTTTTTATATGAATGGTGGACTGTTTTTTGGGATATATATAGTGCAAAGTTAAATCGTCCTGGAACTACTGAAGCTCAGCGTTACGTAGTAGATCAGGTAGATTTTAATTATATCTATTTAAATATTTAAAATTTCTTCATATATATATATATATATATATATATATATATATATATATATTAACACTTAAATAAATCTTTTCGTTTTAAAGCAAATGAGGAATAGAAATCAAATGATGCGTACGCGATTGATGCAAGATTCACTAAATCAGATACCTGTCGGAGGCTTTCCACAAAATGCTCATCAAGCCGTTACCCAACAACATTTACAACGGCTGCACTTACAACAACAAGCAGTGGCGCAACAAGCACAACAGCAGCAGCAGCAGCAACAACAACAACAACAACAGCAACAGCAACAGCAACAGCAACAACCTCCACAACAATCGCAGCAGCAGCCGTCTCAACCTACGCAACCACCACAACAATCACCCGCTCAACATCAACAACAACCAACTCAATTCAATCGGCCGAATATGCAAAATGGCGTGTCTCTTAACGTTGATGCAAATGCCAACGGTGACATGATGTCTATGAGTCCACAACGAGCTAACCAGAATCAGATGAAGTTAAACGCTACTAACATAATTCGTAGAGGGATGCCGTAAGCATTATTTGAAAATCTGTGTAGAATTCTTTATATTATCTTACGTTTATTTAATTTACAAATAGAGGAGGTATGATGAATCCTCAAATGCAAGGGATTCCTGCTGGAAATAGAATGTTTATGCAACCGAACATGTTGGCTGCTCAAGCTCAAATCGCCGCCCAAACTCAAAACGCACAACTTCCGAGTCAATCACAACAACAATCAGCATCAATGTTAGTGCAGCAGCAGCAGCAACATCAGCAACAACAGCAGCAACAACAACAACAGCAGCAGCAACGTGATAATCAACCTCAGGGTGTAGTATCCGGTTCAACGCAGCTGCATATGGCTCAGCCCAGTCCAGCACAGGTATATATAAATATATTAATTAGTAAACAGTGAGTCAATCCACCCATAGAATTGTTAAATAGTTGCCGTTAAAAAAACATCGAACTCTCTGATAAATAGGCTAACCCTTCTTTGAAACGTAATAACGAGGGAGTGAATCAACCTTTATCATCGCCAACTAAGAGGCAGAGAATTACACCTAATGATTCTGCTAATTACATACAAAGTAAATTGAAGTTTTTTTTCAATTCTTTATATAACTCTTTATTTGATATATATAATTTATTTTAATTTATTTTTATTCATTTCAGATGTTCAAGCTCAACGATCTAACGCAGTGAATCAGCAAGCTCAAATGCCAATTACACAACAAAGTAATATGATATTAACCACGGTATGTGTGAATTTAAATATTATTTAAATATTAATTTGGCATTGTATTAGTACAAAGGTTTTATTCATAATCTCAACAGCCCGTTGCGAACGCAAACATTTCTTCCCCGGAACTTAAATCTAATAATAATAATAACCGCCAGACTCCAAATCTAAATGGGAAAAAGAATGCTCCAACCCCGCAAATGCAAATGAGACAGCCAGTAAATCTTAATAATAAACCGATATCTCCACATGGAAATCTGCAATCTTTGTCTGTTCAAAACTCGCATGATATCCAGGATCCTCAATTAATGAATCAGGTTAATCTTCCAAATACGAACATTCACAATAATACCTTAAATGCAATACCGATCCAAAACGCGATGAGTCAAGCTATTCGACCTCCAAATCTCACTGGTACTAATATTATGCAAAATTATGGAATGGGTGGAATGGTTTCATATCCAAACAGATTACTCATGCAACAAGCATTAATGAGACCTAACGCTCCTGATGCTCAAAAAATTAATCCTGGTGGTTTCCTTAATATGGATCAAAGCACGATAGATAAATTCAACAAACAACAACAGGTTTGCCATAAAGTTTACTTTTTGATTAAATTCATAAATAATTAAATAAATCTCATTAAATATTCAAATATTATTTATTTTAGCGCAACCTTCATGATATGAGTGTTATGCGACCTACACTTAATCTTCAATTAGGTAATATGAATCAAATGCATCCAATGCAAATGATTCAACAACTACAGCAGCAGCAGCAGCATCATCAGCAGCAGCAACAATTACTTCAATCTCAAGCATCAAATAATCAACAACAGCAACAAGTTCATCAAGCCCAAAAGAATAGAAATGAAAATAAAGTAGTAAAGGTGAGAGTTGTTATTATCTTTATTATTCTTCTTTTTATTTTTATTTTATTTTATTTTATTTTTTATCTATTTATTTTTTAAGAATCAAAAACCAACGCCATCTCAGACTCAACCACAGCAGCCTAGCGGCGGATCTTCTATTGCTGTAACCAATCCACAACAGATGGTAGGTTCAAACGGACAAGCTCAGTCACAACAACCTGCTCAGACTTCAGCGCCCGGAATAATGCCATCTATTGTTTCTCAACAAGATTCTTCTCTCAATATGAATATGGAGGAAGTATGTAAATTATTATATATATTTTTTAATGTCTTGGTCCTTTGAGTATAAGCGAATATTTTTCCGCCTGTACACATGAGACGATCTTGAATATTATTATAATAATGGTTAGGATTTTTTAAGCATATAAATTTATTAATTTATTATTTATTTATAGCTTGAAAGTTTTGCTTCGTCTATGAACTTTCCAATGGAAGACCTTACTTCTTTAGATATACTCGGAAATAGTGCTGGAGCAAATGACAGTTCCATTGATCTTGGAGATTTTATTAATTTCGATATTTTTGAGGATCCTGGGTCTGCAAATAATGCAGGTCCAAGTGCGGCCAGCAATGGCAACTAAGTGCGTGTGTTTAATAATAATATTAATAAACATTTTTCTTTATTCGTTTTTTTTTTCTT